TCGACCCCATTTCCGGAATAAAAATATAAGAGCCCTCCAAACAATAGGCTTAATAATAACAATAGTCACCTCCGCACTCAAAATATCAGGAATCTTCTTTGCACTGGTACAAGCGTGCAACTTGCTTGTTCACACGCAATTAGTAATTACATCAACTAAATTAAAATAAAATTAAAGTTTCTGTTTCCAACACGCATCTGTCACTGTTTCAGTGTTTATTATTTCTAGTGCATGTTTATGATAGTGGTTTGTTTGGTGATAAGCCCTGATAGCCCACCAGACCGGACAGGACACTGTGTTGACAGACTCTTGCAAGACAGAGCTCAAATGCCCTATCCATTACAATTCCATTGTTTGGTCTCTGCTAGAAATGCACATGAAAATGAAACTTCTTCAAACGATGTCTTGCTTTTAGCTCGGGGTTTAGCAAAACATAGTTATCTGTTGTCGGCCTTCAACATGTCTTTGATTACTGATGGTCTTCGTAAATAATATAGAAAAAAAGAAATACGAATAGGATTTCCATGGACTACATTATAGCAGCCTTTTTGTATGTAGGGCCGCTTAAAAATTTGTTTTTGGTATGAGGAGTAAGGTGTGGGTGTGTTATGTATGTGAGTTTGTGATTATGCTCTAAATGTTAAGTTTCCAAATTTTCAAGACCCTTAGCCCTGTGACCATTGGGTCAATAATATGCTTGATATTCAATGCAGCTTTGCACAAACTTTCATGATGGATGGAGAGAAAAGGAGATTTTGTCATTTAACTTTATCATTCATCAACTTCTACAAAATCTTTTGTTTTTCCCAGTCAAATCATGGACCCCATTTTGTTCCATGCCAACCCAACTCTATCAACACAGCTCTTGATAGTATTAATAGCATTGAGTAAATCCTGGCCAGATGTTGTATCTTTAAGTGACTCAATACTAAGTAACTATTCCGTGAGATGAAACTTGGTATCTACTAATATGCTAATAATAATATCACTAATTGCGCTTTTGTCCTGTACGTCAGTAATTTCGTCCAATGCCAGCGAGTTTACTTAAAAAATGTTTGCTTGTATTGTGAAGTTGGCTCATCTAATGATCAGCTTCTCCATGACAGAGTAATGCTATCGAATTTCTTTTTCTGTTCAGGACACACTTTGGCTACGACTGACAAGCATTCTCTAATAAAATCACCATTTAAAAAAGGATTGTCCAATCTTGTGGCACAGTGCCAAGCTAGCTTCTTTTGCATCTTCTTGGGATGTTGATTGTGTGGTAAAAACAGTTTGCTGCTTCATCCATTTAGTAACTCAAGTGCTTTTTATTTATCTTCCTTCATTTGTGAGATAGCTTCCGAAATCAAGTTGCTTTATTTTGGGGCGTTACTTTAATTTAAAAACACTGCTTTATTTATAGTGATATCTGTGGATGCACCTTTTTTTTTAAATAACTTTTTCTTTTTTTTTTTTTGATGCCCCAATGTGTGCTTTACTGGAGCCAAAAGTTTTGATTTATATTGTAGAGCGGATACTGTGAGGTCCAAATGCCATTTTTTTCCTAGAAAAATTGGTTACATTAACATTGTTATACTCAACACCTAGGATTGCATACAGTAAGATAGGGCGCTGTGGTTCTGATTGACCCGGGTATGCTATTCTGCCTCAACGTGGCAGCCGGGTGGAAACGATTACTTGAGAAAGTAATTAGGCTAAATCAATAACAAAACAAAACTCATGTGGGAGTGTCCAAGGGAATGCGAGAGCTTTCCCATTGCTCGGTGCGGAATTGAAAGAACCTCACGTCCCTGTCGATAATCCATGCGCCGTTCCTCAAGGGACCATACACTAATGGCGAGTCCTGCACGGTTAGCTTGGTACAACATAGGAAAATGGAGGGGTTCCTGGTGTTCTCGGCCTTCGGCTATGTATTCTAGTCCATGCGTGCGGATATATCGGAAATACCAATGTTTTACATAGGCATTGACTTGGACCTCTTCCAGACAGAACCGTTTGTTCGAGGAGGCTTACACGCCTAGAGTTTCGCTATTGTGGACATGCGGCTGTGTGGACTTCTTTAGTCATTTGTACTGTTAAGTTTTATAATAAATATATTAGAAGTAATATTGGTTTGTTAAAGTAGCCTAATGTACCATATTCTAAAAAAGTTTAATAATAGTAATCTTTATTGTGCGTATGGAAATTTGTCTTACAATTTGGGCATTACACCAAACAAAAAACATTATAACAATAAGAGACCAAAGTGTACATTCACAAAAGACTCACTCATAATATACATGTGACAAAGTTTATATCAGATTGTTGTTAGTTAATGATTTTATTGCCAGGGGAACAAAAGAGTGTTTGTGTCTGTTTGTCTTTGCTATCGGTGTCTTGTATCTCTTTTGTGATGGTAAAATCACAAAATCCTGACATAAAGGGTGATTCTTTATTTCGAGGATCTTGTTAGCTTTTTTATAGATGTTTGTCTCAAACAACTGCCCAAATGGGGTTTGTTTTTTTCCAATGATTTTACTAGCAGCATTTAGGATTCTATAAAGTTTATTTTTATTTTTAATGCTCTAATAAAATGTTTAATTTTATTAGAAAGAGAATAATTGTTTTTCTTTAATTATATGGGTACTTAAATACATTTTCTTAATTTTATACCATTAAGACTATTTGATTAGAAAAATGTATGAATAAAAAGTGCGAACATTTGTTCTTAAAACATCTATTAAGTTTTTTAGGTCATGCCATCAAAGTATATAACTGTTAGAAAAATGATGTAAAGAATCAAAGTATTACAGTCATATTACTAAGTTTAGAGTTTCAAAATCAAACAAATTATATTCACAAATAATGTTTTAAAATCATACAAAAGTTTTGATTCATATAAAGTTAAACATTTTTAAAGCAATCTTAGCAACATATAATGTATTAAAAAAAATTGTAGATTCAATTATTTATAGTCACGAAGTAACTTGAATTCCAAGTATTTGAATAGACCTAGACTTTCATTACATCATTGATCACCTTCATTAGCAGCATTTCCTTGTGGCTGCTTCCTGTGCAAATGCTTAATAAGTGGAGGGGAAGGGGGGGTACGATGCCCCGGGTAACACACGTAGAGAGGCGCCAAAAAAAAAAAGATTATTGTATATATTTTAGTTTGATGATACATTCTAAGGTTATTTGTATTATATTATTAAATACTTTTTGTTACTTTATATTTCTAAGTGATGTTCATGGGAAATGGTGGGGAGGGGGGCGCCAATAAAGTTTCCTGCGTATGTTTTGCTCACTACACCTCTGGACATGTGTGCCTGCACTTTTGGTTACAACTAATAAGTTAAACTCTCTCCGAGAGAGACAGAGAAAATCTTTTGTATATCATTTGAGAAACTATATATTACCTTTAAAAAATCTAAATTAATTAATTTTTTTTCTTGCCTCCCTTTGTCTTTTCAATTGTTGTTTTTTAATTTAATCATCTTCAGTCTCTTAAAAGCGTTTGCACTACTAAATTTCTATGCTCTTTCAGATCAGCAGCTATCCTTAGCATGAAATGGAGAGGCCGGTCCATTGTTTTACTTTGTCCATCCAGTGGGCCGCGGCTAACAATTCGACCAAACGAGTCCAGCTGTTCTTTGACAGTGGGCCGTGGCTAACAATTCGACCAAACGAGTCCAGCTGTTCTTTGACAGTGGGCCGTGGCTAAAAATTTGACCAAACGAGTCCAGCTTTTGTATTTTTTGAGTAGTCCCCTCCACTTTTATCATTTTTATCATTAAGTTTTAAAGGCATCTTTGACTCTCAGTGAATGCAAGAATCGACTACAAGGTGGTCACACTTTGTCACTAGCGCATCTTCAACAAAGAAATGACCTTCTACTTCAGTGAATTGAGGCGAGCACAGCGCTTCGTAGACTCAACGCTTTCAGTTGCGCCAGGTTACTCCCTCAAAAGTTAGGGTTTATGGGCTTAATCAGTGCATGACACAAAGGTTTGGAACTTGTCCCCATTGAAATGTAACAAAATGATTCCCCACATTAAGACCTATCGGTTCAAATATTTCTAGACCAGTTTATAATTTCAACTATCGTGTTTATGTAATCATACCGTAGCCAGCATTGTTTTCGGGGGGGGGGGGGGTCCTTTGTACACACGCACACAAATAGTAATAATAGTCTTTCTTTACTTGTTTTAAGTGGAGTTAAGCACAAAACCTTTTTTTTGGCCAAGCTCATGGAATTGAGTGATTATAGCTGTTACTTTTCGTTTTATTGGAAGGGTGATCCAAGCCTCTTGGCTACGCTCATGAAAATTGTTGACTTTAGTTTTTTATTGGAGAAGGTTTTAATCTCAAACTTCTCTTGGCTACGCTTAAGAAATGTAGTAGCTGTAGCTTTTAACATCCAAACCCCCTTGGCTACAATTATAGAATGAAGTGACTAGTTAGCCTTCAGTATATATGTATATTTTTGGAAAACAAACCCTCTTCTGTAATTTACTGACTGTAGCTTTGGTTTTCTTGTACTGAAAGGCGGTTTTGAAGTTGTCTACATTAATGGAATTCGGTGACTGTAGTTTACTTTTTATCAAAGAGGGTGGTTTAATTTCAAAACCAATGACTTAGCAGAATTTAAGTCACTGATTAACATGCATGATTAGATTGACACAAGAAAGGCGTAGGCCGTAGGACATAATTATTTTCTCTTTTGAATTATCCTCTGTAATTTATAAGATAAGAATATGTTTCATTTTTTGTTTATTAAAATATCACAAGAAATGCAAAAACTGAAAGGAAATACAAAAAACTATAACCAGCATTTGTGAAGAGAACAAAACACAATTAGAATGTTGATCATTTTATTCTATTATGGCCTGTGATAGATCTGGACTGATGGCAAAACAAAATCATGGCATGGAAAAAAAAAAGAGAAGAAAAAGATGGATGAGAAAATAAATCAATAGGTCACAACCTTCCAATGATGTACAGACTACATAGGAAACTCAAACTAGTGTTGCAATATTACAACAGCCAGACTCAGTGCAGATTGTTATTAACAATAAAATGAGCTTTCCTAATCACCAGTATAAGAAAAAAATTATGAAAAGAAATTGAAAAAAAAAAAAATGAAAAAAAAAACACAGCCAATAAAAAAAAACTCTTGAATAGATTCAAGAACATGAGACTTCACATGTTCATGTTCAAATAAATGGCTCTATTACAAATTGTATCAATTTATTTTGATAAGTTAAAGCCTTCAAATACATTCAGGTTATTTCCCCAATTATGCAGCCACTATAAAACCAATTCCAAAATTTAAGCATATGTATTTAAAGAAAATAAACATTCTAAGTCATACACTAAGGAGCTGTCTTAAACATCAGTAAGATATCATTGTGATGGATTGTATCAGGGTATCTGTTGGTGTTTCATTGGGTTATAATGATTTCTGTCTTCTTGTATTTGTTCATCAAATAATTACAAAACTTCTAATGGTAAAACTTTAGAATTTAAATCAGTCTGCATTGGTTTTCAATTTCTAACCTGAATATCTTAGATAATATTGTACATATCACATGGCATGTTTTCATGCTGCAAATCTTCGGTGGCAAACAGTTCAATCTGAAGTCATTCTATTTTCAACTAGTCAAAATGACCAGCACTTTAACAGTTACAGAATGTTCAAAGCAGACTAAAAATGACAGATGACAATATAAGACTAAGGTCTCCAAGAGTTCATCAACATGGACTGTGTCCAAGGCATGTCACTGGCCAAACACAGAAAGGAATAAATAAAAAATTGAATGTATACAACATTACAGGTTGCATTCAAACGATATGAAATAATACTTTTGACTTCAACTGAGGCTAAATAGAATAAAATACAAAACAAAAACTTGTTTCAACAATTGCACTTTTGAAGTAAAACAAAAAAAAAAAAAAACACAAGCAAGTGACAAAGTTTGTAATTTAATCAATCCCTACTTTATACAGCTGATGGTGGTCTACATCTATAATACCTATCTAGTCTTCACCCCATCAACAGTTGTGTATGCCAATCGGAGGAATTGTAGAAAAAAAAATTAAAATCATATTTACATTAAAAAAACAGAATAATGTGCTGATTAACTTCTACAGCTGTAGTCATAGATTGAAGCTGTGATAACTATAACAAAACTTTTTTTTTCAAAGAATATTGCAACATTATTTTGTATAAGCTAAGATATTGTGAATTATTTTCTTTAATATTTTTCTTTAGTAATACTAGTTCTAAAAGATCTAAAGAAACAAGGATAACAATGTGACGTGTTAAAAACTTAAAAGTAGACAAAAGGTATCACAACAAACAAGTTTACTTACAACAAAAAAATATATCTCTAATGACTAAGTAAGAAACTGCAACAAATAAAGAGACCAGTTTACAGCTACTTATAGAGAGAGAAAATTAAAATATACTTTTATAAATAAATAGAAAGGTAGCCCCTTTCAGATCTATGGGGGCAAATGATGTCAATCTTTTTCTTTAGACGCCGGCTTATGAGGGTGTCTTGTGTTCAGGACAACAACCAACCACACTTACTTGCCCAATGTATATCAGGTACAATTAGAGTTGGGTGAACTCAGGCACCCGTGAAAATCAAGAAATTCAAAATCCCCTTCTTCACAAGGATTTGAACTTGAGACTCCCTGGTTTGGAAACCAACAGCTTTATCACTTGGCCACCACAATTATATATACACACACACACAAATCACTAAAGGACCAATTAGAATCTAAAATGCATAAAATGTTTTTGAAGTTTTTCAGAATAAAGATTGTTAGATTTAAAACTCAATCATTTTACAGCAGAATAAAAAATGTTACCTCACATTCCATTTCACTGCTTTAACCTTACATTAGATAGTTTGGGCAATCTTAAACAGCCCAACATATAGATGCAAATGTATTCATTAAAATAATATAACTCAACAATAAAAACAATGCTCAGCCAATAGCTAGGCTTCTATGTTGCATTGATAAGCATAGATCGTGCATCATCATGCTACAAACATGACATGAGTTAAAATGTGTTCACAAATAATAATATTTTAAATTTAAAAACAGAGCTAAACCAAATCTTTGTTTTTTTTAACGTAATGTTATCATAAAGCAAAGGGACTATTTGCATACGCGTAGGAATTTAGTTATTTGCAACCCCTTGTTTTGAAGCAGTAAACATAGAAAAAATTCCTTTTTTTATACCAAAATTAACTAAATAATTTGTCCTATTTGATTATTTTATTGGTTACCGAGTAAACATATTTTTAGAATTAAAATAAAGCCTTCAGTGCGAGAGTACTGTGCGGCACAAACTGAATCGCAAGACAGAAGAACGCGAACACAAACAGAAAGTCAAAAGTGTCTTAGGAAACTCAGAAAAGGCAAAGATTCATTGATTTGGGTAAGTAGCTTTTAATCTGATGCAAAAGTGCTTTCATTCATTTTTCTTAGAGTTAGACTCTCTCTTTGTAGTTGCGAGTTATTCCGGGACCCTAAGCCAGGCTAAGCTAACTAGAGTCTAGACTTTGTTTTCGCGGTAGTCAAAGTTCACCCAGTTCAAAAAAAGCAGATTGGTCTTGGACTAGATCTAGACTTATATAGATCTAGATATATTTATTAGATTTTACTAGATCTAGATTTCTAGCAGTCTATCTATTCTAGATTTAGATATGTCTGGGGTTCTTGATCTCGATTTAAAGAGTGAGATACATTTCATCTAGATCTAGATTTAGTTATAGATCTTGGGACTCATCATTATTATTAGACTCACCTTTAATTCAAATTATTGCGAAAGAATCTGATATTTAGATCTAGATCTACTTAGAATTTTAGATCTATCTACTATCAAAATCTAGAAAGTCAATGCCAAAATGAAATGATAATCAGATTAATCTAATGTAGAGATAGTTGAGATCTAGATATAGAAAGTTGATCTCTACATCTAGATGAGTAGATCTGTATAGGTCTAGAATCTAGATCTTATAGATATCTAGATTACATTTAGATAGATTTAGTTTTTCACAACTGCAATCAGTCAGTGTTATAATAATATGTTTTATAATATTGGATCAGTAATCACATTAAAAAAAATCCAACAAACTGGTTGTGATAATCATAATATTTTAATAGTAATAGTAGTAGTAGTAGTAGTAGTAATAGGAGCTTGTTGATGTACAGGCTGTTAGGCCTTTTAGGTGTTTGGATGCATTAAATTTTCCTATTTCATTATCATTCGTCATAGCATCTAAACTGCAGTATAAATTTTGGATTGCTATCTATGAGATTTTTGAAAATGTTCATAATTGAGGGTGCTTGTTTTACATTGGTAGGCAAACTGTTCCAGTTTGTAGAAACTCGGTTACTGAACATAGTTAAACATAGTTAATAACTTAGTTAAATAAGGTAAAGAATTTATTAAGAACTTTGTATTGGATCAGTATTCAACAAATTAAACATTTATTTTTCTCTTTCTTATAGATTGTGCAGCCACTTTTTATTCCGCCATGGACAATCATAATGTAAGCCATGAAAACCAAGATGCTGCTAGTTTTCAACCCACTAAATGAGATATGTGTGCCCTTTGTCAGAAAAATACCAAAGAAAAATTACAGTGTCCCGCAAATGCCAGACAAACAAATCAAGGATCTACATATGTGACTTTGGCTAAAAATCTGACTAAGTTTGGTGAATGTGGTGCACTGTCACCTGGCATTTTAACTAGACTGGATGATGGAGATGGTGTTGAGGAAACATTCATAAAAAAAAAATGTTCATTTCATATGTCATGTCATTTAAAATATAATACAACAAAACTGAAGAGAAAACTTGCATCTTGCGACCCAGGTGAGGAAAGTGTACCTGCTAAAAAAGTTACTCGCAGGGAACAGAGATCATCTGGAGATGGAGTAGTTGATAAGGATCTCAGTTGTTTTTTGTGTGATAAGAAAGCACCAGCAAAGGATCTTAGACATACTTCTACTTTTAAGGTGGATGAAAGGATTAGGAACTGTGCTCTGATTCTTCAAGAAAGCCACCTTTTGGCAAAATTAAGTCGAGGTGATGTGATTGCCCAAGAACTGAAATACCATCCTGCCTGTCTCACTAGCCTATACAGGAAGGCTCAGCCTAAAGTAGACTGCACAGATCAGAGATCTGATCAAATTAGAAAAGCTTTGGTCTTTGCTGAATTGACAGAGTACATAGAAGAAGTAAAACATTCATCTACAGGTGACAACTTAAAAGTGTTAAAACTGGCTGATCTTTCTAAAATGTACCTTAGTCGTCTACAGGAAGCTGGATTAGAAACTGGCTGTTTGCACAGTAGCAGACTAAAAACATGGCTTTTAGCACATTTTCCAGACCTTCAAGCCCACAACAGTGGCAGAGACATTCTGTTAACATTCACAGACAGTTTAAACACTACCTTACAAGAGGCGTATGCTGAAAGCATAGATGACGAAGCTGTACATCTAGCAAAGGCAGCTAGGATAGTACGCAGGGATCTATTTAGTTTGCAGGCCAGATTTAATGCTTCATGCACTGAAGATGTTCAGAACACAAGCATTCCAGAGAGTCTGTTGGCTTTGTTGCAGATGATATTACAGGGCCCAAGCATTACATCAAACAAAGGGAAGAACCAAGCAGCACTGTCGCTTGCTCAGCTTGCAAGTTTTAATGCAGTGAAAACAGAGGGGAAGAGATCAAGGGCCAACACTTCCACAACGAATAAACATTCCAAAAATAGAGAACCACCTGTCCCAGTCTATGTTGGTTTAACGATACACGCACAGACAAGAAAAAAGGAACTAGTTGAACGCATGCACAGTCTAGGCTTGAGCATTTCATACAAAAGAGTGTTAGAAATTTCATCAGAATTGGCAGCGAAGGCCTGCAGACAATTCCAACATGACAAAGTTGTGTGTCCTATGAAACTTAGACATGGTCTCTTTACAACAGTTGCAGTTGACAATATAGACCACAATCCTAGCTCTACAACTTTCAAGGATTCATTCCATGGCACTGCAATATCTCTATCTCTATTTCAACATCCTAGTGAACATTGCAAAGGAACTGAGAGAATACTGTCACATGAATTAGAAGTTGAAACAATAAGTAAAACATTATCAGCTGCTGAGTTACCAGATTTCTTCACAAGTATCCCACCATACTTGCTGAAAATGCCAGTGGAACCTCCCCAACCCCACAATGCAAATGTGTCAACTGATAATTACAGGTTCACAGAAAATGGTGTCCTTGGAGACGTTCTCAAGCAGGCTATCTCATCGGAGCTTGACTGGATGGAGGTTGTGCATTCTGCTTGTGTTTCCTGGGGGGGGGGGGGGGGGGGGGGGGGGGGGCCTTCCATGCATCAAAAAGGCCAACAAAACGATCCCACACCAGGAATATCTTCTTCCATTGTTCCATCAAAGTTCTAAATCACCAGCTATGATGAAGCATGCTATGGACTTGATGATGCAAGCAGTCAAATTTCTCAACCCTGGACAGATTCCTGTTAGTACTGCTGATCAGCCCTTGTTTGCTATTGCTAAGCTAATTCAGTGGAAATGCCCGGAATTTTATGGAGAAAACAAAATAACATTGTTGCTTGGAGGACTGCATATTGAAATGTCTTTTTTAAAGACTGTTGGAACCCTTCTAAAGGACAGTGGGTGGGTAGAAGCCCTGGTTAATGCCAAAGTAGCCACATCTGGATGTGCTGAGTCTTTTCTTAATGGAAGTCATGTTACAAGGACTCGCCGTGCTCACCAGTTGACTGCATGCGCCCTCTTCGTGTTGTTAAAACATGCTTATAGACAACACTCATTGTCTTGTGCTGCACTGGCTGGAAGAGAATGTGCTGTGTTTTGAGGACTGGAAAGAGTCTATGATCACAACAAGTCCAACA